GAGTATACCTCCTCCATCTAGCCCTCTGATTACCCCCTCCAGCTAACCCTCTGATTACCCCCCTCCAGGTAACCCTCTGATTACCCCCTGAAGGACCCACATATCCAAGTTACCTGACATCTATTATCCAGACCAGATGTGACCATCTGATTACCCCTCCACCTAACCCTCTGATTACCTCCTCCATCTAGCCCTCTGATTACCCCCTCCAGCTAACCCTCTGATTACCCCCCTCCAGGTAACCCTCTGATTACCCCCTGAAGGACCCACATATCCAGGTTACCTGACATCTATTATCCAGACCACTGATGTGACCAGACCCCCTGGCGCCCATCCTCTAGACCAGCAGTCACCAACTGGTGGTCTGTGGACCACTGGTGGTCCGTGAGGTCCAAAAGGTTGGCGACTGCTGCCTAGAACACCTGGCACCCATCAGCTAGCCTGACATCTGACTGACAACCTGTGGAGCACTCCTCGGGGTAAGAATGCAGGGCTGCCTATTCTCAAGAATGCACTTTTTAAGATCGTTATAAAAGATCTTAACTTTTCTTTCTTCTTCAGAGCACTTCTGGGTTTTTGCATAGCTGTGTTCCCAGTGTGCAAACCAAGACCCTTAATAAATCTATCATTTATTTTACCCAAAGCCTCCAGGCTCTGAGTTTGTTCAATGGTTTCTAATGATGATATCTTTCCAAATAAAAAGGTAATTTCAAGACTCCTGACCCAGCAACTATTATATTCCCAGTACTGAAAATATGCAAGTTAGTCACTTCTAGTAATATAAGAAATCACAGGGATAGAAGATATGCCAGAACATACTAGAGCCAGGCTCGTTTTCAAGGGTGGAGGGAGGTGAGGAGACAGAGGCTGCCAATCTGTCCACAGTCCTGACAAGATTTCACATATCAGGAATGGATGACATATGAAGTCCAGAAATTAGCAGTAGCCTTTTAGGATTCAGTTAGAAGTAAAGCCTAAGTGAGACCAATATACAGGATGAGGCAAAAGTAGTTTACAGTTGTTCGTATGGAAAATAACACAATAATAAATAACACAAGAATAAACTATTCCACATACTCAACTGTAAATCTACCTTTGTCCCACCCTGTACATACTAGAAAAACCTAGAGTGGTCCTAGCTGGTGTTGCTCAGTGGTTAGAGTGTTGACCTGTGCATAAAAGGGTCACAAGTTCGATTCACAGTCAAGGGTATGTACCTGGGTTGTAGGTTTGATCCCGGCCCCAGCCAGGGTGCATGCAGGAGGCAACTGATAGATGTGTCTCTCACTTCGATGTTTTTCTCTGTCTCTCTTTCTCTGTCTCGTCCTCCTTCCCTCCCACTCTCTCTAAAAATCAATGGAAAAAATATCGAGGGAGGATTAACCAAAAATGACAAAAAAACCTAGTTTTCCCACCTGTGCACCTTGTTTACTATATGAATACTTCACTTCTGACACCAAAAATGTGGGGTGTCAATCAATTCTCTGTGACACCAGCTGGCTGTCCTACAATTTAACTCAATTCTGACACGATCTACTTGAAACATCTGGCACCAGATCCCACAGGGTAAGGGCTCAGTCCCATGACACTGGCTCCCACTCCCCCGACTTCAGCTGCTAATCCCGAGCAGTAGGTCCCCAGGTTACCCATGACGCCCTTCCCCTTAGACTTGACCATCTGCTGAAACAGCTCACAAAACTCCGTTCACCAAAGGATGGACGCCCGATGAGGAAAGGCACAGGGCGAGGCCCGGGGGTCCCGGGCTCGGGCGCATCCTTCCCGGGTGAGCTGGAGGTGCATAGCCGTCCTGGGAAGTTGAAGTGTTCGCGAACTTCGAAGACCTCTGAGCCCCGCACTGTTGGGATTGTAATGGAGGCTTCGTCACAACAGGCATGCTTGATCGCTGACTCACTGGCAGCACTTCTCCCTTCTCAGGAGAATGTGGGAGGGGGGAGCGGGGAGGGGCTGAAGAGTCCAAGCTTGCATGGTGGCTTGGTCTTTCTGGTGGCCAGGCCTCATTCAGAAGCTCATTACAACAACACACTCTTATCACCCAGAACCACAAGAGTTTAAGGAGCGGGTCAGGAACAGCAGTTAAGACCAAACAGCAAAACAAAAGAGGCTCCTAGTGCTCTTATCACTTAGGAAATTCCAAGGGTGTAGGGTTCTGTGCCAGACACAGGAAGGGTGGGTGAAGGCCAAACACATATTTCTTAAAAGTGTTGAGGTAAGAAAATTGTCCAAACCTGTAAGAATTTTTTATGAGTTTATTTGAGCCAAACTGACAATTGCTGGGAAGCAAAATCTCAACGGATTGAGAAAGTGCTCCCGAAAATGGCAGTTTTACCACTTATTTTATACATCAGAATCAAAGGGGAAGACATGTGATGGGGTTACATGAAATTCACTGATGACAGATTAGGGAGGTGGGAGAAAGCCAACCGGGGAAATCTCTGGGATTGGATAAAAAGTAAAAGGAACAGACATATCCTTCTTTTACAAAGGCAGGTGTAAGACAGTTAACAGTTAACAATCAACATAAGAATGAGGGATTGCCGGACCGTGTGGCTCAGTGGTTGAGCGTTGACCTATGAAGTAGGAGGTTAGAGATGATTCCCCGTCAGGGCAAGTGCCCGGGTTGTGGGCTTGATCCCCAGTGTGGGGCGTGCAGGAGGCAGCCAATCAATGATTCCCTCTCATCATTGATGTTCTTTTTTATCTCTCTCTCTCCCTCTTTCTTCCTCCCTGAAATCAATAAAAATACATTAAAAAAAGGGGGGAGGGGGATTTGTCGTTTCTTGCCCTGGCTCAGGCTTTGAGGGGTGGGGAAAGGAAATTACTTTGATATTCCAAAGGTATGTTATCAGAGATGAAAAAACAGACAACACCCAGACAGGCTCAGTTAATGTGAAGACTGACCTTAGTTAGGGGAAAACACCAGCCTAGGACAGTGGTCGGCAAACTGTGGCCCCTTGAGTGTGGCTCTTCCACAAAATACCATGTGCGGGCGCCCACGTACAGTGCGATTGAAACTTCGTGGCCACACTCAAGGGGCCAAAGAGCTGCAGTTTGCCGACCACTGGCCTAGGACATGAGTACGCCACGAACTGCTTTCAGTTAGAAAGTTTTAATTTCTGACCATCCTGCATGGTTACTGTGGGTCTCTGAGTTTGCAGGCCTCCCCTGACGAGGTCAGGTTTAGTATGTGGCCCCTTTTTCATCCACAGATTCATCACATCACAGAAGATATGCCAAAAGGGTGCTTTAGGTTCCAGTTTTCAAAAAGGATAAAAACAAAACCAAACAACAGCCTGCCTATCCATGGTCCTGGCAAGATTCTAGAGCATGTCATTAAATGGATGACATAATGAAGTCCAAAACTTAGTAACTCCTCTTGGATTCAGTCTTAAGTCAGGGACAAGTCAGCTCAATATATTTAGAAAAAATGCAACCAGGGCATTTTCGGAACTTGTAAGTCTAATTATTAGGGGCAGAAATAGAATAGTGGGACCAGCTATAATTACAAAAAATCTTTTTTTTTCCTACAAAAAATCTTAATCATGCTCTGTTAACCGTGACTGTTTTGCTCTGATTAGAAAACGCACATTCTAACCTGGCTGAGCGTTGCACACCCTGGTACATGGGCGCTAACATCGGAATGCAGCCCACCCTCCTCTTCCCAGAGCTGCCTATCATTATAGAAATATTGACCATCTCGCTGAAACAACTTAGTCCCGGAGGTATAATGGTTATTGGCACTCCCAGCCCCATTGCCTGCAACCATATACCCTGCCTACTTTCCCACGCCCGTAATTCTTGCTTTCACCGAATCTCTGCCCTTCTACCCTATATAAGCAGCTGGCTTATGAGGGGGTGGGGTGCAGAGCAGATTTTGTGGGCGACCTGCTGCTCTCCCTGCTGCCGGCGCTATTGGAATAAACGCTCATGATTCACCCCTGTCTCTGCTTAACTGGCTCAAGCAGGGACAGGCGGCCCGGACCCCTTGTTTTTTTTGGGGGGCGGGGGGAGAGGTTTCTCGAAGGAGACATGTACCAGGGGGCATGCAACAGGGGCCCCGCCGGCTAGTGTTTCAGACGTGGTCAGCGCCCAGGGAGATCGCGGCCGGCCTGCAGGGCTCTCTAGGCGGGTCGCCGCCCGCAAATCCCTCGGCAGCTCGCAGTGCGCGCGGGGAGAAGGGGCTTGGAGTCCGCTCACCCTTCTCTTTCTCTTTTCATCGCCGAGGAAAGTCCGCGAGGCGCAGCGGGAGAGCAAGGGATGAACAAAAGATAACTTTCTTCTGGCCCTGCCGCAGCTCTCAACACAACCACGGCCGACCAAGGCCTTAAAGTTTCTGAACCACTTTCCGCCGGAGACCGCCATCGGGGAGAGGAGCGGCAGGAGGCTTCTCCAGAACCCAGGTCGCCAGGCGATGTTAGGTCAGGGAAAGGGACTTGGCCGCAGCACGAATCTCCGCCGGCTCTCGCCACACTCTCTGCTCCGCCCCTTCTGGCGCGGCAGCACCTGAACCCCCCGCTCTGTTCCCTCCCAGTTCCCCGCCGCGTCCACACCTGGTCTCCAGTCCTGCGAACAGTGACTGTAGAACCACCTCAGGCCCTGCAGACCCAGGTCTCACGCTCCCGTGCCGGCGGTGGTGATGGGCAGGGGCTGTAGGGTAGATAAGGCGGGAAGAGGGGAGGTGGCCGTTGCCTTCGCCTCACTTCCGGAGGACGGGCGGAAGTGGCCGCGGTGGATGGGGAGGGGGGACGAGCG